AAAAAAATCAGTATTTATTTATTAATATAAAAAAAAATTAAAACAATTTTTATAAAACTTTAACAAAAATTATCTATTTATTATAAATTTAAATTTATTAATAAATTTTTTTTAATTAAATAAGGATATATTTAAATAAAATAAAATAATTTTTATAAGAGTTTCAGTATTTTAGTATTTATTTATTAATATAAAATTTTATTTATTAATTAATATAAAAAGAATTTTTAAAGATTGAGAAATAAAAAAGTGGAGTCTCAGTTCTCACTTCACGGAACACGTTATCAAAGAAACTTTCACCATTTATTTCATTCACAAAACAATCAAACTATATTGTATATTAAGTATGACGGCTTCACTCTTGTTGTTGAAGGAAGAGTTTCTATAAAACTCTACCATAAATTATTTATTTATTACAATTATAAGTTATTTAATAAAAAAAAAATTAATTAGATAAGAATAAATTTAAAGAAAATAAAATAATTTTTATAAGAATTTTAGTATTTATTTATTAATATAAAATATATATTTACTAATTGATATAAAAATAATTTTTTAAAGAATTTCTATAAAATTTTAAAACAAATTACTTATTTATCTATTTATTATGAGTTAAAATAAAATTTAATTAGATAAGGATATATTTAAAAAAAATATAATAACTTTTATAAATCTCTTCCACAAATTACCTATTTTATTTTTTATAAAACTCTATCACATATAACCTAATTATATCAAATTACCTATTTTATTTTATAACTGCTTTTAGTTGTGATATAGATATTTACATCTACAAAAAATATATATATATATATATATATATATATATATATATAAATAAAAAATTGGTGTTAAGGCCTACCTTTATACTTTTTTATTTTATTTTATATCCATACATTTGTTTTAACTTTTCAAAAAAACAAAAATAATGAATATTAGAAAGAAATATAGTATCAAAGCATTATATTCTGTGAGACACAAAGTTATAAAAAATAAAAAAAAAAATCAATTTTCTCTAATTAGACAAGAAAATATATAAAAAGTTTAATAATGAATTCTATTAAAATGTTTAATAATTGAATTATTATCAAAAATTTTAATTAATAGCAATAAATAAATAAATACACCGGCTAATAGAGAGAAACCGAGATGAGAGGGAAAAAAGAGAGAGAAACAATGTTAAGAAAAAAAAAAACAGAAACAAGAGGAAAAAACACGGCCCAGTACAGAGAGAAACCGAGATGAGAGAGAAAAACTCACTTATATCTATAAATAGAAAAAGCAGCTTTGACCGGTAATATATGAAAATTTTACCCCAAAAAAAAAAAAAAAAATTAAAAAATAATTTCATGTAACAGTTTTCCATTAATTTATTGGTTTCCAGCATTACAATTTTTTTTTTCTTTTTTTTTTTAATTCGAAAAAGTCACTTATATATATACATATAAACAAAGGAGCTTTGACATATATTCTCATATTTTTTTAATCCAGTAAAATATAAATTGAAGGAACAATACAGGAAAAAAAAAAAAAAAGAGAGATTTATTTAATAAGAGAGGCAGTGTGGACCAATAAAAAAAAAATGAATAAATTTTTACAAAACTTTACAAATCATCATCTAAATGACATACCTTTTTGATCTTTCTCTTTTAAATTTCTCTCTCTACAAGGCTAATTTTTTCTCCAATTTTCTATCTCCAACAAGTTCCTTTAACTTTTGGAAAAAAAAAAAAAAAAAAAACAAATTCCTTGACCCTTAGGCTCTGTTTGCTCAGATGACAATAGCAAGAAAAGAAATGAAATGAAAAATGAAAAGCAAATTTATTTTTTAATATGAATTTGGTTAGGATGAAAATTTATTCAAGAATTTTAATTTGGATACCTAAATTACTTTTATTTTATAAAAATAATAAAGAATTAGTAATAAAATATAGGGTGAATGGCTAAAAAAACCCCTCAACTTTCACCTGTTTGTAAAAAACACTCTTTATAAATATTTTTAGCAAAAAATCCCCCTCAACTATCCGGAGGGGATGACTTTAACTGACGTCCGTTTAAATAATTTGTTTAGCCATTTTTTTGGACGAAATTGTCCCTTAACAGTAAAGGACTTTTTTTATTATTATTTACAACGTCAGCATATTCTTCATACTATTTTATTCATACAATAGTGTTTCAATATTATAATTGAATCATATATTTTTACGCAGGTGGGCCTGTTGAATGTAAAGAGTGATCCTTCAATATTATAATTGAATCATATATACTATAATACTATATACGTGTGAAAATTAAATCAAATTTATTTTATTTACTTTTATCCCATCAGTATGAAACCATATTATAAGTCAAGTTTATTTTATTTTATTTTATTTTTAATCATATCATATTCATATGATAATTTTTCCCTAATATCATCTTAAATTAATATGAAACCATATTATATGTTTATGTAAAGGAGGGTATTTTTATCCGAGATTGCATAAAAATTAAATAATTATAGTAATCTGCTTAGTCATTTATCAAATTTCAACTAAAATTGATTTTGCCAAGACTCGTGCATATAAAATCCAAATAAGAATCATGATCCCTCACTATTTGATATGTGATCAACTCTTTCAATACCAAAGTCTCAAGGTGAACAACTAGTTTAGGGAGGATAGGCCTCTAGATTGAGTCCAAACGCGAACAAAAAGAAATAAAATTTGTTTTAGACGGTTACCAAAAAAAAAATTAAGAACTAAATGGACGTTAGTTAAAGTCACCCCTTTCGGATAGTTAAGGGAGATTTTTTGTTAAAAATATTCATAAAGGGAATTTTTTGCGTTCCAAACTACTATTATTCATATTTGATGAAAAACAAGTAGAAATGGAAGTTAATTAAAACTTTATCATTGATAAAGTTGTTGCTCGACTCTAATTATTTGAAACCCAGTAAATATAAATGAAGTTGTTAAGTAAAATAATATCAATGAAATTGTTAGGTAAAATAGGAACACTAAATAAAAAAACCGAAAAAATAAAATTTCTCATGTTTTGTGCAAGAAATGGATAAAATAAAGGATTGCAAAAATCTTAATTTTATACAACTTATCATTTTCTATCTAACCAAACTATAATTTTTTTTTTTCAAAAAAAAAAAAATTATATTTCTTTCCTTTTCCAAAGGCTGCCTTACTCTCCAAGCCAAAAATGATGATTATTGTAAAGAGGAGAGGGTTTTGTTTGAGCGGATTAACCGACTCAAACAAACCCACTATTAACCCACCATTGAATTAAATGGGTCCCAACTTTTTACCCATTATTGACCCATTTAATTATATTTGAATACTCAAATGATTTAATTTTAATGACCCCTAATTTTACCACATAAGAGTTGCTATAAGGCTCAAAAACAAGTTGAGTGCCTAACAATAACCCATCAAAGAGAAATAAACCAACTCCCTGAGGCCATGTCTAATGTTTATTTCAAAGTGCTAAAAGAATCATGGGTAGTTTTGTCATTCTTTCAATCCAAATAAGAGAAAAATGAGAGAATAAAAAAAAATAGTTAGTAACGGCCCATTACTAATTTTTTTTTTTTTTTTCAAAAATGGCCGTACAACAACAAATATCATAAAACAAGAGAATAAAACTGAAGAACGGGCTCCAAATTTGCTGAAAAAACAACGCACCAGCAGAAACCACCAAGGGAAGAAAGCAATAACGAAAGTAACTCACAGATCAAGCCATCGGCAAGGCAACTGCTCCAAGACTACATCCACAAGGCGTCACCGACGAGGAAGAAACCCCCCAACCCCACACAAAAGGCAGGGACAACACAAACCACACAGAGGTGGGAACCACAAAACCCACACAGAGGCGGGGACCCGACATAGATCGAAGATGTAACCGGAAAACCAAAAACAGATCTACCCCGTCAAGCCAGAAACAAGCCTGACAAGAGCAGATCTAACAAAACAACAACAAAACGGCATAAAAAACCAACCCACGGAGCGACTATGTACAACAAACGCATCCACCAAACGACTATGTACACCACGTCGAGTTTTTTACGCGGTGGGAGGCGAGGATAGACACCTCCTCACCCCCGTGGGAGGGGGTGGAGAGCAAAACAGAGGGAAGAACGAAGGGGGCCGCTAGGTTTAGAGAGAGGCGAAAGAAAAAGTTGTAGAAAGAGAGAGGGTTGGCCAATTGCTAATTTATACGCAAACAAAAAGTTGGAAAAAGCTAACACAATTGGTGATGTCTCACTTAGTCATGTGAAAATCGGGAGCAAGGCCACACAACATGGGGAATAGCAGGGTGCTGAAAAAGCATATTTTGAGACATATTGGTTCCAGGGTGGCCTAATTGGCAGAGCGTCCAGCTCTCCCCCATCTCTCGAGCAGGTGTGCCCGTATTCGAATCTCCTACCCCCAGTTTGCCAAGACCCAGAAGAAGAAGAAGAAAAAAAAAAAAAATGTAGAGTTATCAGAGAGACCATCATAGAGCTCTTCCGGGATACATTTATGCATGCTATTAATAATAAACAAGTTGATGTTTTCACTCAATAGTAACAGGAATTACTAAACCAAAAAATACCTCAAAACCTAACAAGCAAAAAGCAACAAGAGTGTCTTTATGATGGAATAATAAACCAAATTGCAGCCCCGACAACCAAGTCAAATGAATTTTGTTCTTCACTGTTATACAACCACCACACAATGAAAATCATCTTAAAGACAGCTACTGTAGGCAAAACGACCATGATGTTGATACAGTATATCAAATAGACCATTTGCGAAAGAATGCATGGTTAAGGAAAAAAATTTACACTTGGTAGCTTTTAATTGGTTATCTATGCAATAAATAAGAGACTGGACCCTCCACTTGCTTGTATGTTGCATAAATAACCAATCAAAACCATTCGGTCAATTCCCTGCAACTCTTCAGACTGGGTCAACTCAAAAAATAATAGTGCAATAAAAAGTAGACAGCATATCAAGGAAGAGGCCATATAGAGAAAAAGGCGCATCTATAAATTAAAACATAAACCAAATCCAAAATTTAAATAGGTCATAACCTGAAACCAACCTCAAGAAAGGCATCATCTTTTATCCAAATAAACTTCTAATCAGAGATTCATATCTCTGGAGTCTAAGAGCAATGCATATGATTCCAATCTGATGAAGAAAAAAAAATCTTTTCAAGCTCCAACTACTTCGTTAGTTGCCGTTCCCTCTTCCACGGTCTCCTCTGCTGGCCTTTCCATCTTGACACCAACATCTTCTGAATAGTCACCATGAACCTACATGAGTAACAAAACTGGAAATTGAGACATAACCCATGATTGTCGCCAAAGAATTAGCATATTCACTCTCTAGAAATGTTTGATAAATCAAAAGTAGCACCAGTGTAAATGTAAACAATTGATACTGTAGTCCAAACAAAGAACAGGAGAAAACAGTAAAACTAGAAAGGGCGAGAAACATGCCTCCATCAACTTGCCAAGATCAAATTTAGGAGCCTTCAGGATCTTGACTTTCCGAATGAATACGTTCTGTAGCGGGAAAATGCTTGAAGTTGCCTTCTCAATCTCTCTACCTATCGACTCTGGAATGAACTTGGCCACCAACTCCTTGAGATCACAGGAACTTGCCTGGTTTCTCATAATTTCTACCATCTTGCGACGGATCTGACAATAAAAAGAACCAATATTATAACACGAAAACATACAACTTCAACGACAAAATGAAAAATATAACAGAAATCTAAACCAAACCTGACGGATCTGGCTGGACTGGGCATAACAAGTTCGCTTCTGCTGATTCTGACGCTTCTTGGTAAATGCAATACAGAACATCCTAAGAGTGTAGTTGTCTGTCGTCTTCACATCCACATGAGCCTCAATTAATGTCTGCCACTTGCGAACAAGAGACCTCAACTTATCTGTGGTAAAATCCATTCCCTGAAATAACCCAGGAGAAGACCCATTTTCAGATTTACATTAAATTTAGACATATAAATCATAATTTTATCTCTTTAGCGTAATGTAAAAAGTTCGACAAAAATGGCTAACATACCCAGAAGTTCGTGAGCACATTCTTGCCCTGTACATCCTCCGCTCTCAGTCGGATCTTCCTGTAGGCCTGATCCTCATCCTTCTGAAGATCAGCCAGACTAACCTCAAAAACCCGATGTTTGAGTCCTTCAGAAGCAATCTGTATGATAAAAGATCAGAACACCAGACAAGGGATTGAAGTTGCATCAATATTAAATATCAATAAGTGATGCAGCAGAAATCATCATCCATTTCGAGTAGGTCAAAAACGATACAAGTATAAATCAATTAAATACTACTTTCTCACTAAAACTAAATTAAGTAGCAAAACTCATGAGAGAAACAAGTTCCACATAAGGTCGGAAAGTTAAACACTAAGCTAACCAGGTTCTATGACCGCAAGGCTTAATCATACTCAAAAGAAGGCTTAATCTTGACTCTAAAGAAATCCCAGTAATAGGCTTTACTCATGAAGGTCGAATGTTGTGTTCTAAATTGAGAATAAATCAAACAAATTTAAACACGATGAAACATATTGTAAATTAGGGAATCTCCATTTAATATCTTGGGTTGAAAACTTGAAATGCCTTGTTCATCACTAAACCAGCGTCACAAAATATATAAACTGTGTCTTAATTTGATCGTTAACATAACAATCAACAAAACCGTATTGAGAATAACATTGATCTTTCCAGTCTTGCATTCTCTTTCATATTTCCTACTTCCTAAAACAAATCCCATTCCTTTATTCTCATAAGCACTTCAAGAGTATTTACTAACCAAATTCCTGAAATCTAACATTGTACGCAATTTACTTGCCAAGGAAAGTAATTTAAAGTTAAAAAATTAAAAGCAAAAACTGTTCCTTAAAGCTTTATGGCCATGCTTGTCAACCAATAACAACAAACTTGCCTCAACTAAGTCACATAATAAAATCAGAGTGCTAATGAAGGCAAAAAAAATTCTTGGCTTATCTTCTAAAACATTTTGAATTCAACACATCATTTTCCTTCCAGTTTCATACATTCTTACAGCAACTAAACACAATCCAAATTCCTCTACACTTGATATAATGCCACAGGAGGTCAAATTTAGATTGTTAGAGAAGCTCTGAGTCAGCCAAACATTTTATATCTGCGGACAGAGGAGAATGAAGGAATTAGGAAATTTAGATAGAAATCAACAGATAGACGTCCTGTGTGAGGTCAATCTAGTGTGCTCCAAACTGCTACAAGCTTTCAAACCAATTCAGCTACAGCTATAAAAAAATTAAAAAAATAAAAAAAAAAACCCAGAAACAAAATTCCTAGCTGCTTGCTAAACCCTTTGGAGAAACTAGTAATGATTGACTCTCAATGTAAACTAAACAAACTAGAATGCTTAATTCGTAGCTGCTTGCTAAACCCTTTGGAGAAACTAGTGATAATTGACTCTCAATGTATACTAAACAAATCTGATTCCTGAATTTTCAGCTATAACCCGTGTGTAAAATTTCAAAAATATTCTAAATATATTATTTAACTATGCAAAAAATAACTAATTGAAACAGATCCCTTAACCCATGACATATATCTGGGGAATCGAACTATAAGTAGTGATCATTACAGAAGAAACCATCAAAGTTGAGCATCAAAATATATATAGTTAAAAGCAAATTTATACCTTGGTACCCTGAGTTCTACTAACTAGGGTTTTGCCAACATTTCTGATATTGAAGAGTGAAGGTGCCTTGATGTCATACCAATCCTTCTTAGCAAACGGATCGGCCCTGTAACAATATCAAATCTTAAACCACTCGAATCGGTATGATGTGTGTATATATATCTAAACAATACCAGTATAAAATATATGTATATATATATATATAATATACTGAAATTAGCGATTGAATGTCACTCACGCTTTCTTCTTTCCTCCCTTCTTTCCCTTAGAAATCCGCTTATTCTTTCTGCGAAAAGGGGGAAAAACAAACAATACGGTTATCAACTAAGTTGTAGAGAGAGAAAGTATATAGAGAATGTAAGAGAAAGATGAGAACTACCCGACTGCCATGGTTGCTAGTGAATAGGCTGGTTAGGTTAGGGTTTCCTTCAGAAGCAGAGGCACGACAGCGGAGGCAATAAGAAACCCTAGTGCTTAGTAATCTTCTACAGTTTAAGTTGCTTATATATAAGTCAGATGCGCCAACCCTACTATATGCCATTCATATTCGACTGCCTGAAAGTTAAATTGACCAATATGTCCCCATTGCTAGACCGGTCGGGCAGGGGTGTAAAAAAAACCGACCCAACCAACAAATCGAATCGAACCATACCGACTAGTCCGTTTCGGTTCAATTTTCTTACATTTTGGTCCAATCCCAATTTTAAAATTTTGAAACCATAGTTTTACGGTTTGGTTTTGATTTGGAATCCAGGACCCAACTGTTATAAGCTTATACATATATACAATAAACTCCCTGCACTATTGAAATATTGCAAAAAACCTCTTGAACTGCAAAAAAAAAAAAAAAAAACCATTGAACTATGTTTTTGTTGCATTTAACCCCACTAGGTAAGCTTCTGATGTCGGAAAAAATGAAAGACCACTTTACCCTTATAAAAAATGACGTCGTTTTAAACATATACACTACATTTTTTTTTTTTTAATCAAACTTTTACACTTAACCGTGTACCAAACATGACCCAAACCACAACAAGCAACTAAATAAAATAGAAAGAAAAATGAAAGTGTGGCAAGGGGCAAGTACTATATGTAGAATCAACATCCTTCTATGACACAACATGTTTTAAAGCCTTGATGGTCGTGAACCCACTAAAACTCTGGAGTTAAGCGTGTTTAACCTGGAGTAGTTCCAGGATGGGTGACCCCCTGGGAAGTGTCTGATCTGGGTGAGCTAAAAGCGGACAATATTGTGTCTGGATAGGATGAAGAACAAATGGTATCAGAGCCTGGCCCATCCGTAAGTGTGGCCAACGAGGAAGTTGGGCCCTAAAGGGAGGGAGTGATTGTGACGACCTTGTGGGCGGGGTGTGTCATATCGCCTGGGTGTGGAAGGGGCAAGTTTAAGCGTGCTTAACCTAGGGGTGGCAAGAATTGACACAACACGCTAACACGACACGAACACGACACGGGTTAAGTGGGTTTGAGTTTGGGTTAATCGTGTTCGTGTCGACACGAAATGACTCGTCAACTAATCGTGTTCGTGTCGACACGAAATGACTCGTCAACTAATCGTGTCATGTTCGTGTTTGAACCTACTAACCCGATCATGACACAATTAACCTGATTGAATATACGTGTCGTGTCGTGTTGACACAGATAAGACCCATTTAGACATGCTTACACATTAACACATTTATACCCATATTTACACAATACCACATTTATACCCATATTGACACGTTAAATTATAATGCAATATTATAAAAGATAAATGGGTAGTTTTGTAAATTTATTGAAAGATGCCCTAACCTAATGCTGCCTATTTTAGTGTTGTTAACTATTTTGAGCCTCAGAAGTCAGAAATACAAAATCAAGAGGCGAGCTCAGCAAGTCTCTCATTTGTCATTTGATCTTCTACGATTCTGAGCAAAAAAACACTTAGTTGATCAGCGATTGTGATACATCACTACTCTCTAGTCACTAGTCAGTAGTCACTCCAGATTCTTATTGTCTCAAATTGGAAGGCAAGTTAAATCCTAATTCGTAACCCTAATTTTTTTTTTTGTTACTGATTAATCTCAAATCTCAATGAATCCATGTTTGATGTTTTTTTTTTCTTCTATGGACATCAAACTGGACCTATTTGTTTTCATTTTTTTAAAAAAAAAATTTGTTCACCTTCAAACCGTAATTTTAATTTCTTAAATTGATTTTTTTTTCTCTTTTTTTTTTTTTTTTATTTGTTTTGCCTTCATTGATCGATTTATTTTTTGAATCCATGTTTGATGTTTCTTTTTCCTTCTATGGACATCAAACTGGACCCTATTTGTTTTTATTTTTTAAAAAAAAAATTTGTTCAACCTTCAAAGACGTCGCTTCCTCCAGCATCTCCATCAGTTCTTCCATCCTAAAGAAAATCCCAGGCTAGGGACACTTTTTGTTGAGAATTAGCTTCATAAAACAGACCTTCTATCGGAATGGTGAGCACTTACAGCTTCAGAATTCTCTTATGAAAGCTTACCTTAAAAGTACATCATGCACTTCACCAAACCGATGATGTAATTTTAATTTCTTAAACTGATTTTTTTTTTCTCTTTTTTTTTTTTTTTTTTTTTTTTTAATTTGTTCTGCCCTTTGATTTATTTTTTGTTCTACTAATTTTTTTTCTCTCTTTTTTTTATTTGTTCTGCCCTTCATTGATCGATTTATTTTTTGTTGTTCTTTGAGGAGGTTCTAAAATCTGATTTCTTTGAGGAGGTCTAGAGATTGGTTGTTTAATTTGAAAGGTAAATAATTCATACTTACAATGACTGAAATGAATTTGGTTATAAATTATTTTGATTTGTTCTTATTAACATTTTTTTTTTTTTGGCCTAAATGAAGAGAGCTCGGAACTTGAATTGGAAAAGCTTATTGTGGATCTTAAAAATGTTAATATCAGCAAAGGGGATCCTACTTCAACTGAATGTTCCAACGCTATTGATATGGTGGAGTAGTGTCCAGTGAGGTATCATTATATTTAGTCTCGTGGCATATTTGATTCATTTAATTAGGCTTTTATATTTTCTTCCATAAGTTTTGCTGATTTACATTGTGGCTGAATGGGTATTGTTTTCTAGGTGTTTGTTTGTTTGTGCTTTTGTTTTTTTTGCTTTGATTTTTATTTTACAAGTTTGTTGCCTTTCTCTATTATGTATAACCATTTTTTTTTTTAATTTCCTTTTTTTAAGCTTAATCTTTATTAAAGTGTTTCTGTGCTTGGGTTCATTGCAGACAACAAATACTTTTGGGTAATGTTGCAACTTAACGAATGCTAGTTTTTGGGTAATGTTGCAACTTAAGGAATGCTAGTTTTTGGGTAATGTTGCAGCTTGAAAAATGTTATAATTATATTAGGTTCAAAGTACAACACACAATTTGATTATTTTGTGTCATTTTTTTTTGTGTACATTTCAATTTAATTTACTATCAGATTATTTAATCTTTTGTGGTTTTTCTTTTCCAGTTTCTCCAATGGTGAAAGGTTGACATTTGACAATAGTAGATGGTGACACTGATGATGCTAGGATGTTCACAACTATCCCCAGATGTTCTTAAGTTTCTTTTGTGACTTTAAGTTATTTTGGTTTATTTTGTTATGGGATTATATTTGTGAATTTCTTACTGAAGGACTTGTAATTTCTGTTGGTAATTTCTGTTGGTGTGGATTGTTGGAAGGACTTGTAATTTCTTACTGAAGGACTTGTAATGCTCCTTAGTTCGTCTTTCTGGAATTTATATTTTGAATCATATTTATATTACAAAATTAAAAATAAAAGCAGGTTATAGCTAGGTGACTGTCAAAAATGAGTTGTGTGGGTTGTGCTACTCAAATAAGAAAAATAAAAGCAGGTCATAAACGAGTGACAGGTGAAAAATGAGTTATGTGGATTGTGCGACCCAAATAAGAAATTTTGTGTCGTGGCGTATTGAATTGTGACTTATTTATTAAACGTGTTAAATGGGTCATGTCGTGTTAGTTGAATTTTGACCTTTATTAAATGTGTCAAAAGTGTCATGTCGTGTTAACACTGTTTATAATAGTGTCGTGTTCAAGTTGAGGGTTTTAACATGATTAATAATCATGTCGTATTCGTGTCGACCCTAATCGTGTTTGTGTCGTAATCGTGTTGACACGAATACGACTCGCCAGCACGAATTGCCACCCTTAGCTTAACCTGGAGTAGTACTAGGAGTAAGTACCCACCAAAACTCCAGAGTTAATCTTGTTTAACCTGGAGTAGTACTAGGATGGGTTACCCTCTAGGAAATGTCTGGTCTGGGTAAGCAAAAAATGAACAATATTATGTTCGGATAGGGTGGGGGTTGTTACAAAAAGTGTGGAAAGATAAAGAAGGAAGAGACCAGAGACGTCCATGGCTAACGAAATAGAAGAAAAAGAACCACAAAGAGGCAACATCTATGAGAGACCATCATCATCTTCTAAGTTATTGATAAGGCTGGTGAGCAAAAAGAGGGATTCAGTGGTGGAAGCGAATAAATTGATTGCATGCTGAGATTACTAGGTTTGTGGTAATATCTTGATCAAGGAATGGAATGTTGTGGTGACGCTTTGTATGGTTTTGGGCTATCATCTTCTTGGAATTCCAGCATGAACCAATATTAAGTGGAGTGAGTATCAAGTTCTATTGGCTAGAGAGAAAAAGTTTTTTTCAACCATATCAAATTTGGTAACTTGAAACAACGGAGAATAACGAATTTGAGCAAAAACCATTGCTTAATTCTCAAGAATTAGCTGAGAGGATTTGTCCCATCAATATTGTATCAACAGTCTAATGAATCTCAAAAGCACAACAAGTATCATTAGAGGTGTTATTCAAAGATCCTTCATGGTATGTGTAATACCCCTAATTTTAAAAAAGATATAAATTGGATTTAATTATTTATTTTATTGCATTTTATTTTATTATGTGGCTACGTGCTTATGTGGTTATGTATTTATATGTTATGTGCCTAATTGATTTACATTGTTTGATTTATATTGTGTGTTTTAATTGTGTGCATTTGTGCGATGCAATCTATGTGACTTAGCTGTGTATTTGTTTGTATTAATGTGTTAGCTAAATGTTTAATTGTCTATTTTATTTTGTTCTATTTTCATTTAAAAGAAATGGATTTGGATAGTAATAATGGACCAGCCAAATAGGTCACATAGACTACTTGGATAAGAGCCTAAATGGGTAGGATTATGACCCATGGGCATTGGTTTTATATATATATATATATATATTAATGTGTATATATATATGGATGTTATTATTTGTATAATAATTATTAATAATAATAATAATAGATGGAGTAGTAATATATATAGTAATGGGTATATATATATATATGTATATGTATACGTGTATTACTATGATATGTATTATTATTAGTTATAATTATTAATAATGCATGGTGGATTTAGTTATATATATATGAATATATTGTGTACAT